TCCTATTTTCCCTCTGTTTATCCTTCTCATTCTTATCACTGTCCCTCCTCACCACTGTTTTGCTTCTGACCACCATTTCTCTCAATCTGCTCTCCCTTTTATCAGTCCCCTTGCTGCTCTTATTCTCCACCCCTTCTACTTCCCTATATACTAAGCTAGATTCCTATATCCAACAGAATGTATACATTATTCATTCTTAAAGCCTCTTTCATGTGAGATTATTTACCCCATTGTGCCTCTCTTCCCTCTTCTCCCAGTGCAATCCTCTTTTCCATCCCTTATTTTTTTTATGTCATTTCATCAAAATCAACTTATACCTGACCCTCCCTCTATGTATACTCCTTCTAACTCAACTAATAGTGACACAGTTCTTAAGAATTACAAGTATAGGGGCAACTAGGTGGCACAGTGGATAGAGCACCGACCCTGAAGTCAGGAGGACCCGAGTTCAAATCTGCCTCAGACCAAACAATTGACACTTACTAGCTGTGTGACCCTGGGCAAGTCACTTAACCCCAATTGCCTAAAAAAAAAAGGAATTACAAGTATCATCTTCCCTTGTAAACAGTTTAACCTTATTGAATCCCTTATGTTTTTTCCTCTTTCCTGTTTGCCTTTTTATGCTTCTCTTTAGTCTTGTATTTGAAAATCACATTTTCTGTTCAGCTCTTGTCTTTTTATCAGGAATGCTTGAAAGCTCTCTATTTCATTAAATATACATTTTCCCCCTTGGGGGTTATATATTCAGTTTTTATAGGTAGGTGATTCTTGGTTGTGATCCTAGCTCTTTTGCCCTCTGGAATATAATATTCCAAGCCCTTCAGTCCTTTAATGTAGAAACTGCCAAATCCTGTATAGTCCTGACTATGGCTCCACAATATTCCAATTGTTTCTTTCTGGCTTCTTGAAGTATTATTTCCTTGACCTGGGAGTTCTAGAGTTTGGCTATAATATTCTTGGGAGTTTTCATTTGGGGATCTCTTTCAGGAGGTGTTTGGTCAATTCTTTCAATTTCTATTTTACCTTCTGGTTCTAGGATATCAGAACAATTTTCCTTGATAATTTCTTGAAATATATCCAGGTTTTTTTTTTATTATAGTTTCAAATGTTTTCAATTGTCTCCCTTGGATCTATTTTGCAGGTCAATGCAATGAGACATTTCACATTTTCTTCTATATTTTTCATTCTTTTGATTTTGTTTGATTGACTCTTGATGTTTCATGGAGTCATTAGCTTCCACTTGCCCAATTCTCATTTTTAAGAAATTATTTTCTTCAGTGAGATTTTGTACCTCCTTTTCCATCTGGCCAATTCTTATTAAGGAGTTGTTTTCTCCAGTGAATTTTTGTAAACTTTTTTCTATTTTCTTAATATTGCAATGAGAGATAATATAAGGTTTGTTTCTTCTGAATGCTTGTGATAGTCCATGATAATTTCCAGATGGCTTATAAGTGCTCATGGATTTCAAACAGCCTGACATTTATTTGCACTGCAAGAATGCAAATATTCATAGCATCTTGATCCTGTGATCATACCACTGATGAGATAGAATTATATGGTAACAAAGGGGAATGAAGGAGCTCTCTGATGTGGTGTATAGAGTGCAAGTTAGAGTATGCTCATACATCTGATCACCTATTGAAAATCTGTTTGCACCCAAATATGGACTTCTGTGACCATAGCTGTTTGGAAACAATTTGATGACAGGTTGAGAAACTTCAACAACATGTTGCACTGAGTCAGAAGTGGTCAGTGTGGTGTCAGTCATACAGACACAGAAATTATTGTGTGTATGATGGTTCTGAATTTTTTTCAGAAACAAACCTATATTGCTTTGAATATACATATGGTTGTTGTCACAGGGGAAAACATGTTTGCAACAAATTTTGGACAATTATTTGCTACATAAAGCAGAATTAAACATTTTTAAACATGAACCAGTTGGATCAATATCCTGAATCCCCAAGGGGTTCATGCAAAGTTCTAGATTAGGGGAAGTCTACAACTCTGAAAGGAGGAGTTAGAAAAAGGTGACTCCACCTACAAGAAAATGGGAGCTATCAAGTGGGAGTAGCTAGTTTTCAGTTAGCCTAATCACCTCCAACACCAGAACAGAGTTACAAGAGTCTCATGGAGAATGCGACTGATGCAATCAATTAAGTTGCCTATTCTATTCTGAGGTGCTATAAGCAGATCCTACTTATTATAATATCCTCTTTTCCCTGGCAGGTGTTTGAGTTCCAGTTGACTCCAGAAGACATAAAAGTCATTGATGGCCTTAACAAAAACCTTCGCTATGTGACCTTAAATCAGTGAGTTTTTGCTCTTAACATCTAACTTTTTCTTAGAGGTCTGTTACTGTAAGGATGTAGTGCAGCACTTTAAAGGAAGGAGTGCTTTTTCAAGTCCTTTATGGAGAAGTTATAAATCTACAAAGTATAATATTTTACAGTGGTCATCAAATCTCCTCTTCCTCTTATCTGAAGCAGCACTCTGGACCTCTCCTATGCTAGGCCAGGTCTGGAAAAAAGCCTTTTCAGCAATTGATGGTCAAAGGTAAAATTGCAATAAGGTATTTGCAACTTCAGTCATATGTCTGCCTTCAAACATGGCTGTTCAGTTCTCTATGTAGTCCTCCTGTCTGTCTTTATAGTTTAATAGAAAAATTGTATTTTGTGGTAGAAGATTTTTATCATTTTTTCATGCACAATGGGTCCTTTTTTTTTCCACTTTCAGTAACCAAACTTCTCCCATACAAAAGGAGTGGTACCTTGTATCAGAAACTTAGGTTCTAATTGTGTTTCTGATGCTTACTAGCTATGAGACAATAAATGAGTCCCTTTTCCTCTCTGAATCTCAGTTTCTTAGAAAATTTGGAAAAAGAAGGGTTTGGATTAGATGATTTCTAAGGTCTCCAAATTAGGTCTGAAGGGTGCCCTAGGGCCTCGATTCTGTGAAGATGAGCACTAGAGCAACATTGTTTAATGTTACCATGGAAGGGTATAGTCATAGGCATTCAAGGATAGATGAAGAAAACTGGAGTAGCTTCCTCCAAACCCATTTCCTATGAGGATTGTTGTTCTCCTCTATCATTCCTCAGCAAGTGAGGTTCAGAGAAGCCCCACACCTCTTCCCATGACTGCTTTTATTCTCGTTAGGTGGCTGGTTTCACATTAGCCTAGGGTTATTGAGAAATTATATAAAACATGATCACTAAAATAAGCATGGTACATGTCTTTAGTTTTCTGTCTTCTAACTTTGCAACCTTATTTTTCATGTCTAAAATTGAACTCATTATCTTTCCTTCACACACTTCCCACCTCCAAACTTCCCCTCTTACCATCAAGGGCACTGTTATCCTCCCACCCCCAAAGCTTATAACCTAGGTGTCATCCTTGACTCCTCACTGTCTCTCACCCCACCCCTTCTCATGTTCAATCTGTTGCCAAGGCCTGTTGATTTCACCCTTTTAACATCTTTTGAATATGCTGCCTTCTCCCCTCTGATACTGCCACCACTGTGGTGCAGACCCTGTTCACCTCACACCTGAACCATTGTAATAGGCTTCTGGTGAGTCTTCCTGCCTTAAGTCTCTCCTCATTCCAGTCCATTCTCCATTAAGCCACCATGTCAGCTAAGAAACCCTCATGGCTCCCTGTCATCTCCAGGAGCATATATAAAATTCTCTGTTCAGCATTTAGAGTTCTTCCTCCCCCACCTTTCCAGTCTTCCCACACTTTACTCCCTGCCACGTACTCACGCATCCAGCGACACTAGCCTCTTGTTTTTTGTGAAGAAGGCATGCCATCTTAGGCTCTGGATGTTTTCTCTGGCTCTCCCCTATTCTTGGAATACTCTTCCCCTCACCTCTGTCTCCTGGCTTCACTGGCTTTCTTCAAGACTCAACCAGAATTCTACCTTTTACAGGAGGCCTTTCCCAACCCCTCTTAATTCTAGTGCCTTCCCTCTTTTTTTATTCCCCCCCACACTTAATAGTATTTTATTTTTCCCATTTGCATGTAAAGATAGTTTTCAACATTCACTTTGATAAGATTTTGAGTTCCAAATATTTTTCTCCCTCCCTCCCCTCCTTTCCCCAAGACAGTATGTAATCTGATATTATTAACAAAGCCCAGAAGACAATCAAGAAAGAGAAATTCCATTTAAAATAACTGTAGACAATATGAAATATTTGGGAGTCTACCTGCCAAGACAAATTCAGAAATTACATGAATACAATTACAAAACACTTTTCACACAAATAAAGTCAGATCTAAATAACTGGAAAAATATCATTTGCTCCTGTGTGGGCCGAGATAATGTAATAAAAATGACAATTCTACTTAAATTAATTTACTTATTCAGTGCCATACCAATCAAACTACAAGAAATTATTTTATTGAGCTAGAAAAAATAATAACAAAATTTGTCTAGAAGAACAAAAAGTCAAGAATATGAAGGGAATTAATGAAAATAAATGCAAGGGAAGATGGATTAACTGTACCAGATATAAAACTGTATCATAAAGCAGCAACCATCAAAACTATTTGATACTGGTTAAGAAATAGAGTGGTAGATCAGGGGAATAAATCAGGTACTTAGGACACAGTAGTCAATGAATATAGTAATGTACTATTTGATAAACCCAAAGATTCCAGTTTCTGGTTCAACAACTCACTATTTGACAAAAACTGTTGGGAAAACTGGAAAAAAGTAAGGCAGAAGCTAGACACAGACCAGCATCTTACACAGTATACCAAGATAAGGTCAACATGAGCGCATGATTTAGACATAAAGAATGATACCATAAGCAATTTAAGAGAGCAAGGAATAGTTTACCTGTCAGACCTATGGAGAAGAGAAGAATTTATGACCAAACAAGAGGTAGAGAAATTATGAAGTACAAAATGGATAGTTTTGATTACATTAAAAAGTTTTTGCACAAAGCCAATGCAGCTAAGATTAGAAAGTAAGCAGAAAGCTGGGAAACAATTTTTATAGCCAGTTTCTCTGATAAAGGCCTCACTTCATTCCCCCCCCATGTTTTCTCTCTTTTATTGTTGTTTTTATCATCTTCATCATTGTCGTCATCCTCATCAGCATCATTGTCTTTGTCATCATCATTATTACATTTCTTTTTTTTATTAATTTATTTTTAATTTTCAGCATTCACTTCCATAAGCTTTTGAGTTTTAAATTTTCTCCCCCCCCACCTCCCTTCCCAAGATGGCATGCAATCTGATATAGGCTCTACATATACCTTCCTATTAAGCATATTTCACATTAGTCATGTTGTAAAGAAGAATTAGAACCAATAGGAGGAACCACAAGAAAGAAGAAACAAAACAAAATAGAAGAGAAAAAAAGAGCAAATACCATGCCTCAATCTGCATTCAAACTCCATAGTTCTTTCTCTGGATGTGGACAGCATTTTCCATCATGAAACTTTTGGAAATGTCTTAGATCCCTTAAAGGCTTCACTTCTAAAATATATAGAGAACTGATTTAAATTCATAAGAATACAAGTCATTCCCCAACTGATAAATGATCAAAAGATATAAACAGGCAGTTTTCAGATGAAGAAATTAAAGCTATCTATAGTCTTCTTAAACTTTTTTCACTCGCAACCCCTTCAATGCTTCTTAAACTGTGGTTCATGACCCACATATGTGGTCACGACCCACAGTTTAAAACGCAATACTCTAAATCACTATTGATTAGAGAAATGTAAATTAAAACAACTCTGGTGTACCACTTCACACCTATCAGATTGGCTAATACGACAAAAAGGAAAATGATAAATGATGGAGAAAGTGTGGGAAAATTGTAACACTAATGCATTGTTGGTGAAGTTGTGAACTGATCCAACCATTCTGGAGAACAATTTGGAACTATGCCCAAGGGCTACTGTGCACACCCTTTGATCCAGCAATGCCCCTTCTAGGGCTGTATCCCAAAGAGATCATAAAAAATGGAAAAGGACCCACATGTACAAAAAATTTACAGTGCCTTCCCTCTTGATTATTTCCTGTATATAGTTTGTTTTACATATTTGTTTGCTTATGATCTTCTCCATTAGATTGCGTGTTCTTCAAGGGCAGAGATTGTCCTTTGCTTTTCTTTGTATCCTCATAGCTTAGCACAGTGCCTCATATATGGCAGGCATAATAAATGCTTATTGACTGACCTGCTGCATAGTGGAGTATTTACTATGCTATTAATTGCCCTTGGAATATCTCCTCTATCTGATTCTAAACAAACAATCAGAATTTAATAGAGTTCATAGTACAGACTGGCCAAAGTCTACCACAATACTTTTCCTGCTCTCAAATTCCCTCCATGCTGTGGAAGCAAAGCCTGTTTTGTTAATTGATGTGGATAAAGGTATGCCATGGTATAGGGAGGCAATGTGACAATTATCATGGGAAAAGCACTGAATTTTAAGTCTCAAGTTTTAGCCTTGATTCCTCTCTCTGCCACTTACTACCAGTTTGACTCAAGGGAGGTCACTTCCCCTCTGTTGGCTTCAGTTTCTTAAATCAGACCCTTCCAAATTTCTTAATGATAGTAATTGACATTTACAAAAGTCCTTTGTACCCATAGTTTCAAGTGAACCTTGCAATAACCCTGTAAAACAAGTTGTCCAAAAATATTATTTTTCATTTTAAAGATGAAGAAATTGAGCTTCTGAGACATTTTGATAATTTGCTCATTGTCATACAGCCAGTAATCAAGAGGCAGAGCTTGGATCCAAGTTTTCTGATTCCAGAGCCAAGATCTTTTGTTTACTATTCGGTTGATTCAGTTATGTCTGACTCTTTGTGACACCATTTGGGGTTTTCTTGGCAAAATACTGGAGTGGTTTGCCATATTATAGGTCTATTATACTACCAGGTCTACTTATACTCCAAGTCTATTATACTACCCATTTATTTTCCTTGTATCTCAGAAATGCTTTCTGTTTAAGGAAACTGAACAAAGCCTGCTTGAACCCAAGGCAAGTGGGATCTATAGCTAAGTCCTCATTCAGTATTTAGATGCATGGGCCAAAGAAAACAAACCATTACAAAGATTGTTTTTCTTAATCTGGGAAAGGGTGTATTTGGGGAGGTTGGGTTTGGGGGGTGGGAAGTTGTTGGAGTTGGTGTGTTGGAGAGATTTCTTTAATGAATAAGACTTGTATATGTATGTTTCTTTCTTTTTAGATGCCAGGAATTTCCCAACTATCCTTTTAATGATGAATACTAATGAAGTTTTGACTCAGAAGATTTGTGGCCTGAGACATTGAAGTTCTCTCAAAGGAATAGCTTATATTCTGTTGGTTTTTATGGAAATTAAATCCAGTATTATGGTTAAGCCATGCACCATGGCTAAGCCTACACCAAGGCACAGGTTAAAGGCAGTTGTTCTATTCTAAGCTCTGCCTTTCCTGCCCTCAATAAGACAGACATAATGGTACCCATTTACGTAACATTTCAAAGTATACCATGTAATAGTGCAAGTATTATCCACTTTTTTCCAAGAGAGGTATCCTTTTCTCAGAGAGGTTGTATCAGGGTTAGCATCTGGCTCATAGTCTTCCTCTTTCCTCAGATCTTACCATTATTTGTGGTACTTCAACATATATATTGATATCCCCTCCAGCATCCTAACTACTCAATTCCTTAATCTCCTCAACTCTCATGGACAACTTCTTCACTTCACCATCTATCTAGTAGTGTAGGAATGGCAGTCCCCTTCAGTTCTCTACAATTTCATCCCAGCTACTTTCATATCCAGCATGAATGCAGTAATTTCTGTAACTCTTCTGGAATGAGATTTGCCACTACCAAGGGGTACAGAAGAAAGCCAATCATATTTGTACATACATACATATACATATTAAGAAAACAATCACATGCTGTGATTACACACAAATAATGAATAGATGATAGTTCACTCAAAACCCAAAAGAACACTAGCCCCTATAAGCCTTGAGGATGACAAATATTCATATCTGAGGTAACTCCTAAGGCAGAAATAAATCTTTGTATCTGGGATTTGTCTATAGTAAAGAAGATGTGACTTCAGTACATATTATTCCAGGTGCACTCTAATTATTTTAATAATTAATGGTCAAACAATCTATCAAATAAAAATCTATCATATTAAATCTATCAAATAAAAAATATTCTTTATAAAGTAAACTTGTAAGCCTAACAATAATAAGCTTAACTAGTATTATGGATTTTTAAACTTATTGCCAGTCAAATATCAATTTGGTCTAATGCATTTATGAATCATCTTACATAAAACATCACTTCATCCCCTATCAATTTGGTATTTTATACCGAAGAGCAATATAGAGTAATTATACTTTTCATTCTTATTCTTGCAGTTTCTAGGTATATCACCTTAATGACAAATATCAAACGGTTCTTTCATTAAAGTATGATCTACCTATAGAGGGTAAAATACTATGATTATCTCCCTTTATATAAATCACATTATAATTTAGTTTGGATTTACAATCACAAATGATCTCATTCAAAATATCAATTTCCCAAAGACCATTAGCTGCCAGCACCTCAAATTATAGAGGCCACTATTTTAAATTAGCTCCATTCCAAAGATTTATAATGGAAGTTTCACATTCTTATCTCCTTTTTAAAATATCTCAGCATTTGCAAAAATCTTTAAGCTATAATTTGGAAATTTACAGTAAAAATGTTTTACTTCAGTTACAAATTTGTTCTCTGATTAGTTTATAATGCCATAAATTTTTACAAACCAAGAAAAAGATTTCCTTTCTTTACTTGTCTAACTTTATCTCTGTAACCCCAATCTGACTATTGAAATGACAGAGAGAAAGTATCTTGAAGTTTTTTTTTTTCTTTTTTAAATTCCTAAAACCTTATCTTAAGTTAAAGTCTGAAATGAGAGTAAATCTCTGGTTATTGAGAAGGAGAGTTTAGCATCAGATTATAGAAAGCTTGGAGAGCTGTTTCAAGTATGAAACTTCATTAATCTTCCCCACCGACCATTCTGAAGTCCCTTTCTGCATTTTTTTTTCAGCAGACTTTATTGCTCAGCTGTGTTTTCCCCTTAAAAATCTTTCAACATAGCAGAATCTACAAATACACAACACATTTTCCTGAGAACCTCATAGGTGGGAGAAAAAGAGATTTTCTACTATAGGGGTACTGGTTTGGCCCATAAACGCTCAACCCTGGTCAGCAGTTTATCTGACTTATACACATTGGTGCTTCCATCATTAACCTGAGGTTATCCTAAGTGAATAGGTGTAGTACTGTTATTCGGTGAGCTGTTTATCAAGGTCACTTAGTCAACTAAATGGATATTAGGACATGGGAAGACACAACACAAATATATGATAAAATATTGCCTCTGGGCAGGTCATGTGGTTCAACTGGTGGCCTTTGCATTTGAGTCCTGGATCACAGTGTCATACTCACCAGTATATCAGGGTGGCTGCCACCAGACAAAGGTATCCAGTTTATTTCTAATGGCCACAGTAGGGTTGTAGGAAATACAGGAAGAGACAGATAGGCAAAAAATTGAGACAGAATATTAATGGCCAAATTTAACAGATGACAGCATTGCCTCAAGAGTCCTAAGATAATCAATCTTATCATTTGCTGATAAAGGTAGCTAGGCTTGTTCTAAACCTACTCAGAACATTCTGAGTCAGGGTGTCCTAATGACTCCTAATGCTCCCTGAATTATATAGAGTTCAAACACGGGGACAAATATTGCATTCCACTGGATTATTAAGGTTACTCACCTGGTTCTCACCATACAGATCGATCTCATCTAGGTCAGTCCTGTCCTACTTTGGGCTTCTCAAATTGACCATCAGATATCTCACTTCTGACATCAAAACTTTTTGATGGAAGAAACTTTTTGGCAGAAAGAAATCAAGAACTAAAAAAAATTTGAAGTTTATCAATTCATCTAGCAGGGGAAAGAGTTGAAAAAAGGTGGTCTGCTTCCCAAAGTCTTTTGAGTATATGGGATTATGTATGATTCAAAAAAGGAACAAGTAAACAACAGTTGAGTGTTCAGCAGTTTCCAGATTAAGACACATCCTCACACCAATCTGTGGATATACCTCCACTAGAAGGTTTCTAGTCAGCATAACCTGCAGTCCTGAGTTAAGCATAATCTGTTCTACAAAAAACAGGTTTGGTCTTTCAGCCCCACAGGGCTACATTCAAATAATGCAATAAAGATTTCCCACACCATCATGTATTTCTTAGTGTGCCAATCTCATTTCTATTTAGTTTTGTTATTTGCCCTCTAGTCCGAGAACATCCCAGTGGATGAAACACTCTCAGGAAAACCAATATCCTCTTGATTGAGAAATTCCCCAACATACCCTACTTGTAACACACATCTAATCTACTACCTCAGTTTATTCCTCTCAGACCTAGATCAATAAATGCAAAAGCTAAACAAATGAGAAGTTAGAAGACTTGAATAAAATTTTAGAAAAGTTAGATATCATGCACCTCTAGAGATTGCTGAATGGAAATAAAAGGGAGTATAGATACATTTCCATTGTATATAGTACCTTCACAAGTTGACTATGTACTAGGGCATTAAAACTTCAAACAAATTCAGAAAAACAAACGTATCTTTAATGGACTCTGATGAAATAAAAAATATTTAACAACAGGCAATGAAAAAATTATTTAATTGTGGAATAAATACCTTGTCTTAAAGAATGAGTGGATCAAAGAACAAATTATAGAAAAAATCATTAATTTCATTGAGGCAGCAAGATGGCATAGTGGATAGAATACCAGCCTGAAGTCAGAAAGACCTGAGTTCCAATCTGGTCTCAGACACTTACTAACTGTGTAACCCAGGGTAAGTCACTTACTTACATGTGCCTTACTTTCCTCATCTATAAAATGGAGGTAACAGCACCTACCTTGAAGGGTTGCTGTGTGGATAAAATGAGATATTTGTAAAGCACATAGCATAATGCCTGGCACATAGTAGGTACTATATAAATGCATATTTTTCCTTCCCTTCCATTTATTAAAGATAATTACAATAAGACAATATACTAAAAATTTTGGGATGTAGCCAAAGCAGTCCTTATGGGAAAATGTCTCTATATACAATTTTATCAATGAAAGGGGGAAATAACAGATTAATGAATTCAGCATACAACTAAAAAAAAAACTTGGGAAACTGACTAAATTAAAAATCTCCAATTAGACACCAAAATAGAAATCCCAAAAATCAAAGAAGGGACTAACAAAATTGAAAGTAAAAGATAAAACAAAGACTAGGAGCCTTTTTTTCCTCCTCAAAAGACCAATAAAATAAATAAAATGCTAAATCAATTTTTAAAAAGAAAATAAAATTACCAATATCAAAAATTAAAAAGATGAACTCGCAATGAATGAAGAAATAGTTAAGAAATATTTGCTGCATTATATGCAAATTGAAATTACAATCTAAAAGAAATATGATTATTTACAAAAATATAAAATGCCTAGATTAACAGACTAAGAAACAGAGGACTTAAATAACCCAATCCTAAAAAAACATAAATTGAATAAGCTATAAATGAGCTCCCAAACAAAAGAAAACCTTAGGACTTTATGGATTTCTATGAATTATATCAATTCATTCCAATATTACATTGTTTGGGGGAAAAACAGGAAAAGAAGGGGTCCTACCAAATTCCTTATATGAAAAATATAATCTTAATATCTAAACCAAGGATAGTCAAAACAGAGGGAGGAAACCTATAAAACAAATATTAGCAAGGAGGCTATAGCAACGTATCTGAAAGATTACACACTGTGACCAAGTGGGATTTATACCAGTTATATTAGGCAAACCATAAGCATAATAGACCATATGATTGTTTCAGTAGATGCAGAAAAAGCTTTTTATAAGCTACAAAATCCATTCATGTTTTTTTAAAAAAAAAAAAACACTAGAAAGCAAGGTAATAAATGGATCTTTCCTTAAAATGATAAGTAATATCTACCTAAAACCAACAGCCAACAATATCTGTAGTGGGGTTTTTCCAATAAAGATCATAGAAGCAAGGAGGTTAAAGCAAGGATATCCATTACTATTCAGTGTAGTGCTAGAAATGCCATCTACAGCAATAATATCAAAAGAAATTGAGTAAATAAGCACAAACAAAGAAGAAAATAACCACTTTTTACAGATGATATGTTGATTTACTTAGAGAACACTAGAGAGTTTACTAAAAATTAATTGAATCAATATCCTTGGAAAAGTTGCAGACTATTAAATGATCTCTATATAAATAACTAGCATTTCTATACTTTACAAAAAAAAAAATCCAGCAAGAAGAGCTAGAAAGAGAAAAGTCATGTAAAGTAACTACAGAGGGGTCACATGATCAACAAGATGGAGGATGATCAATCAATAATGTACCAAACATTGTGCTAAGTGCTGAGGATACAAAATGAGGCAGAAGATAGTCCCTGCCCTCAAGGAACTTACAATCTAATGGAGGAGACAATACATAAACAAATATATTCAAAGCAAGCTATATGCAGGATAAATAGGAAATAATTAACATTGAGAAGGCACTAGAGTTAGTGGGAGTGACATGGGTCACGATCCAGCAAAAGAGACTAAGAAGGACACCAGATGGGTAAGAGAACCAAGAGAAATATCAGAAAATCCCAGGGAGGGGAGAGTATCCAGAAGGTCGTTAATATTGTCAAATGCTGCAGAGCATTCAAGGAGAAAAGAATATATAATTTAATTCAAACCAACAAGCATGTATTAAGTACTCATTATGCACAGGGACTAGAAAGCCAAAAAAAGAAGAAAAAGAAAGAAAAACAATCTTTATCTTTGTCTCTGTCTTTCTGTTTGTGTCTCTGTCTGACTGATTGTCTGTCTCTTGGTCTCTCTCTCCCTCTCTCTCTCTCTCTCTCTCTCTCTCTCTCTCTCTCTCTCTCTCTCCAGCCAGCAAAGTTATAAGAGATCAAGAAATAATAAAACAAAATGTAAAGAATGAAAAAATAGAAGAGAGTGTGAAACATCCCATAAGAAAAACAACTGATCTCGAGAATAGATCAATAAGAGAAAACGTAAGAG